AAGGACAGTATAACTCTCTGAATGGATGCAGTTTTGGAGGTTGTGAATTATAACTTCATTTTTCCTGAATGAAATAGCTTTAAAACACACATGTTCTGCACCTTTTATGTGTGTTATATGTTCCTGGTCTAGTCTGCCACCCAAGACATTGTCAGTACTTGGTAGATATCAGCCTCTTTCTTCCTGTCCTCTTATTAAATTGCAATCAAGTCTTCAGATGGAGAATGAGAACTGACTCATGACTTCAGTCTGGTCACATGTCTAAACTGGCATGTGGTACAGAGCTACTTCCAGTTTAGCACATAGTAGTCCAATTGTGACCAAGTGTTCTTTCTTAAAGCAAATGTGAGACCACTATCCAACCTAGTTAAGTAAGTTAGCTTTTGCCAAAATTTTAAGCATCTACAAATTTAAGATTTGATTTCTTCGAAATTATCTTTGGGACTAAATCTTCAAGTCACCTGTATTCCAGACTTTGAATTGTAATTATGCTTTAGTTTGAACTTGTGGTTTCCTGTAGCAGTTAAAGGAGAAGTCAAATTAATAAATGACTGGCATTCTAAAGGAGCATCCAGGTTGAAAATTTGTATTTAGGGAACTGAGATTTTTTTTAAATAGTTCAAATTTAGAATGAGGGTAATTCTCTCTTTAACAGTTGAGTTATTTAAAAAAGGGAGAGGGAAATTATTTCAGATTAAAGGAGATGTAAGAGAATATATCTCTTAAAACCCGTAATATTTGGTTGACTCCTAGTTTAAGGGAAAATCAGTTATATACATTTTGGGAAAGTTGGAGAAATTTGAATATGGACTGGTTATTTGAGCAATAATGTCCTACTCAGTAGCGATAATAGTATTTTGGTGATATAGGAACATCTCCTTGCTGTTTGGGAATCTATGCTCACATGTTTAGGAGTAAAGTTTCATGATGTCTAATTAGTTTGAAATGGTTTAGCAATATGTATATGAAATATGGCAGAGTATTAACTATTATTGAATCTAGATGATGTGAGTTCATGGCACTATTTTTTTTTCTCCTTTTCTGAATGTTTGAAATTTTTTGTAATTGTGTGAGTGAGGATACTAATGAAGAGGTCACCTTGAGGGAGAGAAGTCTCGAGGGGCATGATAGAAGTCTCGAGGGGCCTGCCTTGTGGTTTGCGAGAGGCTTGCTGGAGGAGAGCCACGCAGGTGGCGGGTGGAGCCCACTAGGAAGCCACGCTCACCTTCCAGGCTGTCCTGATAGCTCAGCAGACCACCCGGAGGCATTTTCACAGGCTCCCCCGTGAATAGCCCATAATAGCCGTGGGAGAGGTCTTTCCACTGTTATGCACCGCGCCACAGACTCCCCTTGGCAGCCGTGGGGAAGCTCAAGTCGCCTTGGCTATGAGTCCTCGGGAAAACAAGTGAGGCTGGATAGTTTTACAGTAAAAACTCTGTGTTGGATATTTGCTCTCAGTGTCTTGGGACTATGAACTATAACAACCCAAATAAATGACCACTCCCTTAAAACACATTACTCATTGGAGCACGGTACTACTTAAAACTAATCTACTGCCTTGCGAAGCCAAGATGGAATTTGTTCAACTCATATTTGAGTTTTTTTCCCTTGTAATTTTTGCCTTTGTATTTATGAAGCCTGTGAATTTCTAATAAAGGCATTTTGGAGCAGTTTACTTTAGACAGACCATGAAATAAAATAGTAGCAGAACTCTGGTTTGTCCTTTCTTTTTCTCATAAACATTACTGACTTCCACCTCATTTTTTTTCTTAGAGACTTAATCTTTGGTGAACAACCAGGTGAGCCAGGAGAAAGTTAATGTGGTAACTAGTCGTCATTTCGGGCTTCATTGTGGCTTTGGAGGTTGTCTGTAGAAGGGTAGAGAGAAGCGCAATAGCTTTTTACAAGGTACAGAATGCAAAAGGTGTCACAGAGACTGGAAACTTTTCGGGCAGCTTGGAGGCCAGGGGAGAAGATGGGATCTTGCTGGTACTGGGTGATCACATGACATCAAGCAATTCAGAAATGTAAATTATTTCTAGAAACGCACATACTCGAAGACTCCTGGTGGAAAGATGCTTCCATTACAGAGACATCCTTCCTTTCACCCCTGTCTCTTCGTATATCTAAAGACAGTCTTCTCAGATTTAGGAAGACCACAATAGCCAGCTAGAAAACAGGCATACTTAAATGTTATTTGCAAGTGCCTCCTAATCTGGGAATACTGTTATCAGGCAATTTTCAAATGGAAAGGTTATCACTTTATGATTTCCATTTGCTTATTTTCCCCCAGTCTCCTACTGACTCAGGTTTTCTGCTTTTAGAACACCAGTGTAGCTGGCGCCCTGAGTAGGGAAAGCCAAGGGCCTCTTGGATTCTTTGCCAAATTGCTGTTTAGCTTCAGAGAGTAGTGAAGCTTTGCCTTAGCCCTGGGTACGTACAGAATCTCAGTGGCCTGCTGAACTCTGTGAAGTCGATTTCATCAAGAGCAGTGATAAGAATGTAGTTCTTTATCACTGCCTGTTATCTGTGAATAAATGAAATACATCTCTCCATGCATTTTAGTTCCGTATGTTTTAGCAGCAGTGATTTTCTCTGTTCATGTATCAGATTTAGTTTGCCATAAGAACTGACACAGTACCTTTTGTGTTTCATCTCTTTTCAAGTTTCTCTTTAAACAATAGTTTCATGTGACCAGTGGAATTTGGACTAAGCAGGTGCAAATCTTTTTTGCATGTTAAACTTGCTATTTCTGTTGTAGGTACCATTAGGCCAGGTTTTCCATTGGAACCACTAATAACAAGATGCCAGTTTAGGAATGATTCCTTTTTAACATAATCCTATCCTACGTATGGCAAGTATAGGGGGCAATGTTTCAATAAATTTAGTTCTTCTAATTTCAGTAATAAATCACTTATAATCTGCCTTAGACTGCTTTCATTTTCTCTAGGAGAAGGTGTCATATTGAAACTTTATTGTTTAGCAGTCTGAATAGGATTTAGTTATCACTCAAGAAGTATCTCCATATACCAGGTTTCCTGAACTCAGAGCTGTAGCTTTCATGGTCAACTTTAGATTTAGCCCCTTCCTGATAGGAACATTTTATTGCTGGAGATTTTGTACAGGAAGAAGATTTTCGAAATTTTAAACATGCCATTTGAATCTTAACCACCTAGAGCTATAGACCAGCAAAAGCAGAATGACTTAGTTAGATAACTGCATTTTTTTTGTTGTTGTTGTTCAGTTCTTTGGAAAACTCATATAATAAATCATTATTTGAAAAATTACTTTTAAAATTTGCCAAATGTTTTGTGAGTCCCAGATTGTTAAGGACGTCTCTCTTACAGCCCCCCTCCACCAGCAGTAGGACAAATAAACAGATGCAGAAGTGACTTCCACTCTCTCAGTGACCTAAAGAATGACGTATTTGTTTTAAAACACTCAAAGCAATGCCAGCAGTGTGTATATTTTGTCTGACATTTTAAGCAGAAGGAAGCCACATGACTGAAATGCAATCCATTTGCAAGTCTGTTAGGAAAAAATATATTTCATCTCAGTAAATCTTGAGATTATCCCTTCATAGATGTCGCTGTTATTTCGCGATGCATGTGACTAAAGCAATTTTGCTGTCAGAGACATAGCTTGTTTAGACAGCATTGAGTCTCTGTGCTCACTGATGTCCTGGATCTTTCTACAGGAGTGTTGGAAGGATACTGAATGTAAAAGTGGAGACATCTTTAATTGTGTTTTTTATATAAGTTATTTCAGAACAATCATAGTCATGGAGTTTGGAGGGTCTGATGGTCCCGGAGATGACTTTTTGCTACTCTTGGCCCCTCTAGTTTCCCAGATAAAATCAGATCAGAAGCTGGGGACCCTCACTTCGCTTTGGTGGGCCTTTTACTTCTGATTCTTCCACTGAATACTTGAGTGCATTAACCAGAAATAGTTTTACTTGATCTTTTCAGGAAAATCATCAACAGAGTAGTTTATACCTGGAGGGAAGCTGGAAGAGAAAGAGGGAAAGAGGAAGGAATTACGCTGGCGCTTTCGGTGAATCATCTGAAATTCTCTTGCCACCCTATAAGATGAATGATAATGCCATTTTCACAGATGGCATTTACTCTTTTGGATGCGGCTTCTTTCACTTAACATTATGTCTGCGAGATTTATTTCTGTTATTGCCTGTAGTTGTAGCTCATTTATTTCTAGAGGCCATGTCGTATTTCACTCTGTGACTATCTATATCCTCATTTTTAAAAATTTCTACTGTTGATGGATATTTGCATCGATTCCAATTTGAGACTATTGTGACGAGTGCTATCGTGAACACTATACATTCATGCTTAAAGTCAGCTTTAGATACTCGAGCATTTTTTTGAAGTGGCTGTACCAATTTGTACTCCTGCCAGCAGTATACCAGAATTCCAGTTGTCCTATGTTCTTGTCAACACTTACTGTTCTTTTTCATTGAGGCCATTCTGGTGAGTTGGAGAAAAATTTTTTTGACTCATATGGTATTGCTTTTCATCTCATTCTATATAAAGACTTTGCCATACTTGAATTAGAATAATGTATTTACAGGCAAAATATACCCATCTTCAAATAGGTCTTAAACAATTATTTTTGTGAATTGGTAAGTAATGAATGTCAGAAGGTAGCTAAAATCTACTCTCAAGCTCAGACTGAATTAATCTTCTCATCTGAAAGCCCTATTTTTCAGATGTTAGACCTCCTCATTTATTTAATTTTACAGATGAAGTGACAGAGACATTTCATGGAGTAGGGACTGTTCCAGGAGTTCTGAGCAGCCCTCCTGGAAGAGCCAAGATAGTAATGTTCACCCTTTTCTCTGAAGCAAGGCCCTCTGTTGATTCTTTTATTCATTCATTTGCTAAATAACTATCGAATGCTTATTGCATGGCAGGCACTGGGCTGGGCCCCTAGGACTCAGCGCCAGATAGGCTTATAAACTCTTGATGTCCTCCTTCACTTTACAGGTTATGGCTTTCAAATCACAGCCTATTTCCTCAAGAGAGGGATACGCCTTCGCTGCATCAGGGGCACACAGAATGCTGGTAAGAAGCTGATTTCTTGGGTTGTCAAGTATTTCACACAATCACCTTACCCTAGAAAAGGGATGAGCATTAAGGACTGGAGAGTCTCGCTTCATTGCTTTCATGTCATTGAGTGTGTCCAAACATTTGTGATTTTTTTTTCCCCAATTCATACTGTGTAAATTGCCTACCTGAGAATGGTGAGCTGGGCCACACTTTGCTGATGCATCTCAGCACTTTCATTGAGTTTCCAGAGTGACACGACACAGAGTTGAACCGTGAATCATTTCATCCTTGTCTGTGCACGCCAAGGCAGTGGGATATGGAGCAAGTGCATGTTCTTTCCCAGCCCAGAGCTGTCAGCCTCCCCTAGGTGTGTGATGAGGCCAGTTCCCCCCTCGCTTCTCCAAGTCAACATGTCCACTGGGGAAATGATGTCACGCTTGTCCACCAACACCAATGAAGTCAAAGGCTAATGACTGTTCTCCAAGTTGATCTGAGCATTGGAAAGAAAATTTAGCTCAGCTTCCTTGGACAATTTCAGTATATATATAAGATATGAAACAGGGACTTTAATAATTAGCTGTATGGAAGTATGTTCCTGGAATCTTCACAATCATCTGAACTTTCTTAACTCTGTATGTTGCTCAAATATACTACTCTCTTAACAGGCCTTCCACTTTGTTCAAGTTCTCTTGGTAAAATAAGTCAGCTAATCTTGTCTCTCAGACTGACCATATCCCTCATGGTATGGTCATTACATATATCTTTATTTAAATATAAAAATAATACAACTCTCAATTATGACCTAAACAGAGTAAAGACGTATAGAAGTTGCTTTCTGTTAATACGTGGCACCAAAATGTTTAAAATATGCCATTCCAGCACTCTTATTTTTTCAGAGGAAGAAATGCAAATACAAAACAGAGGAATTATTTGATAGAACTGATCATTTTGAATTCTAATTCTGATCCACTAATGAACTACTGTGTTTCAATTTTATGATCTGGTGGGGGCAGAGGTGGACAAATTATGAATTCTGTGGCTCAGTTTTCCCTTCAGTATAGTGGGAAGCAGATCACTTACCCCTTACTTCAATAAGATATTTTAAGAACTAATGAATAAATTTTAACTGCTTTGCTAATTTTGTTCTTCTGGCTTTTGAAAGTCCATCCCTAGTCACGTAGCCAGATACAATATACACATAGTTTGAGTTTAAACACACCCAAGCCCCCACCTGGAATGGGGGTTTTCTATATGAGGAGGAGTAGTTGGGAATAAGATCCCAAGTTATCTAACAGGTTAGGCCCCACTTATGGAGGGCTTTGAATGTTGGACGTTGGGGAGCCACGATAGGCTTTTGAGCAAAGCCCTTTTTTAGGGTGTTAACCTGCTGTGTTGAGTAGGACGAATTGGAATAGGGAGAGTGACTGCCAGGGAGACAGCAGTGGTCCAGGGAGTAAGCAGAAAGCTGTTACTGGAGTAACTCATTAGGCCTTTTGGTATAATTTAACCTAGCCAGGCAGTATAAGGTGCTAACTCTATTTAAATTGTGTGTCTGCCTAATTGACAACATCATGCTTGGCTTCCAAGTGGTGCATCAGATCCAGATATGTTACTACCTCAGTCATTGCTATCATGTGCAATGTATGTAAAAGGCTTCATTTACCTGACTCATAATATCTATCTTTTCAAAAATTGGTCTCATCTAAGAAGGAAGCTTTCTCTTTTATAAAAATGACTTTATTTCCATTACAAATAGGATAAATGTGTATTATAAAAACATTCAAGCAAAACCAAGTATAAAGAAGGGAGAAGAGCTGCCTCCCCATCCACCCAGAATGTACACTGTTAGCATCAGCTAAACATCACTCCAGACATCACTCCAGGGGAAGGTGGAGGCTGGCGAATGAGTAGATGGATGGATAGACAGGTGAGAGAAGGAAAGATCCAGATGGCATTACCATTTTGTATTCCTTTCATTGAATGTTGAGGAGTCCAGTTCAGTGATTCATTCAGCCTTCCCCACCAGGAAGTTAGTGGTTTGTTTTAAGAAGCTACAATAATAGATTACTATGACTATGGTGTGGTTATATCATCTTCACTATTGTCTATTTAACCATTTCCTTAATGGTTTGGTCATTCATTCCTAGGAGAAGCTGCTCTTTACATAGCCTGATTCAGACTGGGAGTTTGCCCTCCAATGTAGGGGACCTCTTTCAGACCAGCTGGCCAGGGAGATGATAAGTAAACTAACTAGTAAAAATGTTCATGGGTCACATTTTTAGATTTTACCTAATATTCTTCCTCTTGCTCTATAAGTCCACACACTTATTGGAAGACGTTAATCCTATTTCCCAAATAAGAGTTCTAAATAGAAAATGGCAAACTGATACAGAAGGAGGGCTGCACAGGCCCTGCCTGGGGGTTTTATATGGTGTAATGGTCCAGGGGCTCAGGTGGACCAATTCGCAGCCTCTTCAGCTCTCCCTGGAGCTTTGTGCTCACCCTGCCCTATTGATGGCAAACACTGAGAGGATGGGAGGGGAGAAGGGACGTTTGTCTTATATATACATGCATATTATCATAACTTAAAATGAACAAAAATCTGGGACCAAGCATTTCTGTGTTCATAGTTTTTTGATGTTTTTCCTAACTTGCTTTTCTTCGTTTCTACAGAGCTCCAGGTATTCCCTGACAGATTTGTGGTCTGTGTAAGTCAGCTTGCATTCAGTCATGATCATTTGGCAAGTCAGAATGAAGAATTGGTGCGTATAAACAAAGTTCTATAAACAAATAAATCTGTTTAAATGCTTAGTTTCTGTTAAAAATAGAAAGAAGAATTGTCTGCTGTTCTCATCCAGTAGATAAATGCTCAGTGCCTGTTTTAAGGGAACAAAAATGTCCTACCTATTCTGCATGGCGATATTGATTAATTCTTGCATTTTTTTTTCCTGAAGATCCCTTGGATATTTAGTGTAATCAGCAGTATCTTTTTTATATTGATTTTAAATGAGAAAGCAACACGTCACAAAAACTGATGGTGCTTACGTTAGTGTTTAAATGAAATGAAGCAAGGTCTTTAAATGATACGAAGCAAAATCCGCATGTTTCCACTGGAAGCTTTCATTGGGGTCAGTGGCTTTTGAATTTTATTCCATGGTGAATCACTGACATTTTCTTGAGATCCAGTACTTCCCCCCAGTGTATTATTTCATAGCTGATTAGGGTTAATTCTCTCTCCCTCCCTCCCTCCTTCCCTCCCTCCCTCTCTCTCTCTGTCTCTTTCTCTCTTTCTTTTCTCATGTTAAGTCTTGAGCCCACCAGGGCCAGTTTCTGTTTCATTGGAGTTCTCTATTCAGACAAATAGATAAAGAAAACTTACTCAGCATGTTGCTGCTTACAGGTTTGTCTTTTAAGCTTAACATGTACACATGAGAGAGTCTTCTTGTGTGTATGTGTGTCACAGTCCAATCTACCTGAATTTACTTCTACGTAAACTTTTTTAAAAAATATTTTTGGACATATGACTTGAATCTTTAGCAAACAGAAAAAAAAAATCCAGCAGACGTTAACCCGGCCATGAAGTATGACATGATTATTATGCTTCTAAAATAATTTATGGGAATATTAGATTACCCCTGATGTTTATTATTTTTTAATCCATATGAAATCTGAAATTTGGCCCACATAGTCTAAAACCGGCTTCTTATCTCATCTTAAATAAATACGTAAGAAGAGTGTTTCACAGATTGTAAGGGCAAACAGAGACCCAGGAAAAGTAAAGAGCTGAGAACTTATGTTTAAATTTAGATGCCTTCGTTTGGAGCGGAAAAGTGTGTCCCTCCTATTTGTTCTTCATCCCTCAGTAAAACTCTTAGTATACACATTAAATGAAATACGTGAAGCAAATTTGGTGAAAAGTATTAGAAGTTTATCCTTTGAAATATTTCTGGGATGTTAAGTTATCTTAGTAAATTAGTAAATACTAAAGTGGTAATGCCATTGGCATACAACTAAAATATAATACGGCTTAACTTATTCTCAGAGCAAAGAAGAAATTGATCTATGGTTTAAGAAAACAACAATTAACTGTACCAGAAAGTATTATTGCTTTCAGATAGAATATAGAAGAAATTAGATCTCGTATCTGATATGTAATATTAATACTTAGTATCTTAAATTATTAAGAGGGAATTAAAACATCTCAATACAAGTGAAATATTATCCCCCTTAGGGGCCCTGGTATTTATACAGATGTAAGTTTTCTATAGCTGCTGTCATATAAATCCTGTAATCTGGAAGACTTCCTAAACACTGAAAATTTTCATTCTGAAAAATTGACCAGTCTGAGCCTTTTACATAAGTTCAGTTTCCTTATCTTTAAAATGTTCTGATACCTAGCGATAATACTATCAGAGCTAACCACATTAGCTTATAAGAAAAATGCCATTTACATCACGAGGCCCTTTCATTGTCTCAAGTGATTCTCTTTAGTTGTGGACAGTCTATGTCTTCTCAGTTACGCTTTTTCACCACCTCTGACGATCTCTTCACACGTACACTTTCCCAGACGCACACACAAGCCAGCCAAAGCCCAGCACAGCCTCATCGCTGGACGCAGCCCTGTGCGCCCTTCTGCCTAGCCTGCTTCCCACTGTGCCTCTGCTGCTCCCCGGCCTCCAGCCCACCACTTCCTCAGGCTTGCTGTCGCTAGAAGCAATGAAAGATACAGGTCAAATAAAGGTCCCTCTCCTGCAAATTGCCCATCAAGCCAACTACACCGTCCTTCCACCAGAAGTGTCTTGGAGCTTAATCCTCATTGATACTTGACCTCTGCAGAGTCCGCCTGTCTCAGCTATTTAAGGATCAATAAACAATCTTTCCCTTCCAGAACTGCCTTCTGCCTGCCCGAGAGAAGGCATTCTGACTCCTCACTGTATGCTTCAAATGCCCAAAAGCCAGTGATGCCAGGCTCCCATAAGTATTCCTTGAACTTCTTCAAGCTTTGGATTTTTTTATCAGTTTACATAGATACTTGCCAAAGGGCAGGATCCATCTCATTTTCTCTTGATAGTGATTCTCAAGGAACATCTGACTGGGCAAGGCCTGGGAAATTGGCTTCCTGAGTAGCTCTACTGGAGATAATTCTTTAGCAATAAACTTTGGTTATTTTCCTATAACTGTTTATTTAACTTGTTGTTCTGTGACCGCAGAAGTGACAGGGTAGTGAGCTAGTACCCAAGCAACAGCCTACATGTCTTACTCTTGATATAGCATTAAAGAGCTCCGATTCCCTTTCCTTCATCTTTTTTCTCCCCCTTTTTGGATCCTCAGAGTCTAAGGGACGATTTGTTAGGAAATCTGGGAGCGTGTGTTCACAACAGCTCCGCCAAGGGATTCTTTCAGCCTGTAGACAAGGAAGGCAGCTGCTCTTAGCTCCACAGTTCTTAAAGGTGGCTGTACAAAAGAACTGATCCTCCAGATTGGGCAGTACAAAGGGAGTATCCCCCCTCCTTTGCAGGCAGGGCGAGTGCAGCCACGTGGCCCCTCACCACCGAAGCGCCAGGGACGTCTCCGTTGGCATTTCTCTTGTCCACTCAGGGACTTTGGTGCAGGGAGATCCTCCGTGTTGCAATCGCTCTGCACGGAGTGCCCATGTGCTAGGGATGTGGGAATCGTGATGTGTACTTTGGGAAGAAAGGGCATTATTATGAAATGAGTCATTGTATTTTTCTTACTAGAGTTTCTCATAAGAAATCTCAAAACCCTTGTAGCCTCAGTTTTTTGACCTATTGCTAGATACAGAGCTGGGGCGTCTTTTTGAGAGCTTTTACCTTAAGTTGTTTTTTTTCCCCTTACCTTTTTTCCTTAGAAATATGAAGAACATAAAGTAAATTTTTATTGTACTCAGTTATATTCCGTTCCAAAAGTATTTTCTTATTTACAAACCCAAGTTCCTGCATAGAAACTGTTTTCTTTCTCAGATGTAAAGCCCTGGAGCCATTGGGAAATTTAAAATTATTTATTATTTCTGTTATTTCTTTATTAAAGTTGTATAAATAACCATAGAACTCTGTATGTATCTGGGACATTTCAGGGTCAGCACAAAGCTACTACTTCATTGTGTGTTGGTTACAGCCACTCCTTCCACTCTCTGGAGACCACTCTTCCCATCTGTTCTTACCATCACATTTCAACATAATTCGCTGAGTGCTGGCTTTGTGCTAGGAACTCTGGTAGGCACTGGGGAAAACAAATGAACAAAAAAACAAAAAAAAAAAATAAGGAAGTGCTTTTGCCCTCAAAGAGCTTACAGTCTGGCAGACCAGAGCTGTTGAAGGGTATCTTGGTGACCTAAAAATATAACTCAGATAAGGCCTCCAGTTTTCCTAAAAATGTTTCTATTCTGCACCTATATCTTTAATGGTTCAGTTGGATCCTTTCTGCCATTCAGAAGGAAAGTCCAAAATTCTGGACTTTCTTACTTTTGAACCTAATGTGTCAATGTCTGTGATCCTTTTGGGAATTAAAAAATGACCCGTAGAGCTAGTGCTGCTTAGAAGTGGACGATATGCACATTAAGATATTTCGGTTCTCTGCCTTACGCTTCATTTGAGTTATGGTCAGGCTATGAAAATAGCTGTCAAGGTTCTGCAGACATACCCCAGCCACCCAAGGCTAGGTTCTCACTGTAGCATCATCTGTGTCAAAGGATTACTGGGCCATCCTGCCAAGAGACAATATTTAAGCACTAAATTGAACACTACTGTTTAGTGTTAAAGAATTCTCCTTCTGGAATATGAATATAAAATTGAAGGGAAAATGAGTCTAAAGCAACACCGTAGGCTGGGCTATTTTTAGCTTGGCTGTTGTATGCCTCAGCTGTGCATAATCCAGCCTCACTAGGCTTTAGCCCTCCTGTCATTCAAGGGCAGGGTATCAGATTATCTCAAAAATCTTTGCTCACATGGCATTTCTATCAGAGGAAGCAGATGAAAATGTAGCTAAGTAAAAACTACAAAATGATTTGGCACAAAAGAGAACTTGTAGATTTAAAAATTGTGATAAAATATAACTCTATCCCAAAAGTTTTTTATTTTAGGAAAGATAAATAGAAATTATTATAAAGGTAACGTTTTAGGCCTTATGTTTTTTATAACAGAAGAAATAAACTGCTTAACAATTTGATGATGCACTATCATTTGTGCCTTGATGACAGAATTCTTTAACTTTCATAAGGGACTTTTACGTAAGTGTAAATCATTATTCAAAAAAAAAATTCTCTATTTTTTGTATTAAAAATTTTAAATAAGTAGCAGGTAACTTTTCCAGGTTTTACATGATATATCATAGACTTTAAAAATCCATTTTTTTTATTTCTTATTGTATTTCCTAGACAATGCTAGTGGTAAGTTACATGAAAACTATCAACAAGAGATTCCTGTAGCACTAGGAAAAGTTCCCTGAGTGGGGAGAGGCTGTTTCCATATTTCACATTTTCCATAATGTTCTGAACTTAGTTTTCACTTAAAAACTGATTACCAAGCTTGTACATGTTCATTGTACAAAAAAAATTTTAAATCAATCCAAATATCGACAAAGAAGATAAAAATTATTAACAACTCCCAACCCAAAGATAAATCTGTTAATGATCTAGTCTGTATCTCTCTGTACTTCGTACTTAATAAATGGAGGTCAGTGTGAATTTATTTTAACTAGGACCCCATTTGTGAATTATATGTTTATGTCCATTTCTCTATTGATG